ATATTATTTAAAACATACAGTATATGAACAGTAAATAAGTGTTACTTTCATATTCATATGTAGATAAATGACGTTATGTTTTCACATGTACGGATTGCACGCACTTACTTTACGTACGTTGGCGTTCCCAATTGTCTCGCTTTATTTCTTTATCATTAGTGGTTAGCTACTTCTAGTGTTCCATTTATTAACATTAAATAACAACACTTAAAACATACAAACATGTAATATATATTTTTTTAAATTAAGTTCATTACAGCTACAACCAGGGTCTTATTTTCTTATGTAGAACCATCGTCTCGGACTCCCGGATGTAAACACCAACAAAAACAATGGCATCCCATCTCCTCTTGTGTGACCATATTATTATTCATTTACCGTATATACTCGTGTATAGTTCGAGTTTTTAAGACCAAATTTTTAGGCAAAAAATTGGGGGTCGTCCTATACATGCGTAATAGTTTTGTTAGGTTGAACCCGTGCATGATGGGAAGGGCGAGGAGCAACTTTTAGCTTCAGACATGAAAAATATTTACCATTTACTGCCAGTAAACAATGGAAACGTAAAATATGTACCAATTAGTAATGAAAAGTTGTGCAGTTCCTTCAGCAAATGAAGCTCACCAACTTACAATAGGCTAAATTACCTTACAACGTGCTTTCAGTAGTCTATGTTGAAGTTCTTAGCACAGGCTAACTTATCATATCATATACGGTATCACAGTTCTCATTGATCTACAAAAAATACCGGTATTAAAAACCTTTTCGATATTTCACACTTAATATAATACCCGGTAAGCTACTTCAACCTCCTATTGTTTACAACGACACATCACGCACCACCAGCTGTATCAGCTAGACGGTACACGTGTTTTTTGAATCGTTTTCAGTTAAAAAACTGTTACATCACATGTATATTTTACCTTAACTGTGCCTGAATGAATATATTCTCGGAAATAAATAGTAGTTTTGCTGAAACGTGATGTATTTTAATGTAAAATAGGATAAAATACATGACGAAAACAAAAGACTTTACCTAAGCTTCTGTTCTTGAGATGTTACTCGTTTTTTTAATAGTTTTCGGTTGAAATTCTTATATTACAATGATATTCTATTCATACTGTGCTTGATATAATACATTCACTGAAAAGTAATGTTTTTGCTGAAATTACGTACGTATTACAGTGGAAAGTGGGATAAAATCGTGACGAAAACAATGACTTTCGCTTTCTTTCGTTCAAAAGATATTACCGTAATCGCTTTTCGAATGGTTTAGTTAAAAAACTGTTGTATTACAATAATATTCCCTCCTAATTGACTTGAAGAAATACTTGAATGGAAATATACAATATTTTTGTTGAAACTACCCGCGTTTCAGTGTAAAGTGTCGTAATAATAAATGGTAAACAATTTGCTTTCGGCACTCGTGTTTCATGCACGGCGAGCCTCAGTTTATAGGACGTACAGCGTTTTTAGTGAAGGTTTTATTGTTCCATTACCCTAAAAAATGTGGGTCGAACTATAAACGAGGAATATCGTAAATTAACGATTTCTTGGTCAAAAAATCAGGGTTGACCTATAAACGAGGGGGGGGGGGGGGTTATAGACGAGTATATACGGTATATTGTATAAGGTGTATTCAAAAACATTATTTAAAGAATATAGTTTGCAATTTTTCATTAATTGTATTGTTTTGGGGGAAAAGAGGTTAAAAAGCCACACAAAAGATATGAAAAGGTCACACTTGGGAACGCATCTCATTAAACATGGTGACCTGGCTGGCGATGTAGTTATAATCCATCACCTCCACACACATTCATTTATCTTATTTTTAGTTTTATGTTATATTTTCTTTATCTATAAGCCACATCGTTTATATAAATTGAAATGTGTTAAAGAAATTCGTTTTCTGTAACAAAAATTCCTAAGGTCAGCCTGTAGCACTGTGCATAGAAGGATTTATTGAGGGATTCCAAGAGCAAGTTTCTACTAACCGGAAAAATTCTTTATCTGGCACCTCTCAATCCCTGTAGGTGCCGGATAACTGGGATTCTACATACAGTGGGGTATGCTATAACGAACGGATCCTACTACGAATATTCCTATAACCAACGGTTTTACCTATAAAATTGAGAATGCTATAACGAACGAAACTCCTACAACGAACATTATTTAAATTTTTTTTTTTTAATAATTTATTGTTTTTTATTACAAGTATTAATGATATTCTTTATTTCAGGGGTTTAGATGCATATTTATGCACTTTTTTACAATTTTTACAATTCTATATTATATTTTTCAGTGTTAAGTGGTTGTATTTGGGGGCCTGGAACGGATTAATCCTATAACGAACGAATGCTATAACGAACAAGGTTCTAGAACCAATTAGATTCGTTATAGCATACCCCACTGTATTCAACTTTGCGTGTCCTCACTCATCAAACAACAGCCCTAAACACAGTTATATACTCTAATCTAGTACGGTTTGTTTGCCGCCTACGCCACTATCGTTCAGCACTTCTACGATCCATAAGGAGAGAACTTATAGACGAGTAATACCACGGAGAGTCATCATGTACTGGAATTTTCTTTGCGATCTCTGGACAATAACTGTCTCAAATGTACTGGAAGACATCATTATCTAATTTAACCATCTCATCAGAAGTCAAAACAAAGCAGTTGACCCAGTTCAAAGAATGGTCAACTTTCTGATCAATCTGGGTTTATTCAATGTTTCTAGTTCCCAAAAGTAATTGTTATAATGTAAAAAGAGGGTCTTGGGACATTAAAGCCATAAGTAACCAAAACATGGTCAGAAACTGTTGGATCAATCAGGTCAGTTTCAACATCTAATACATGATCACAGTCAGCAGGAGAGAAAACTAGGTCAAGCGTGTGTCCATAAAGATGTTTTGGACAAGACATATGATTGACAAAATTTTTTAGATAAAAAATTTCCAACAACTCAGATGAGAAAGGTTTCAGAGATGGGTTAACCAAATAATTAAAGTCACTGTTGCCTGTTCTTCCCTGAGAAAGTCACAAGAAACAAGCAAAATTGATCCATGAACTCCCTTATCTGTACCTGGGTGACCAGGACAATACACAACAGCAATTCTAATAACTTAGTAAAGATTCATTAATAGATCAGCACCAATCTGCCCCCCAGAGCTCCTGCAGCAGGTCTGGGAACATGAACAAGAGAATGTGACTTAGGAAAAGCACCATGAATAAAGTTGATGTCCGATTCATAGAACCACGTTTCAGTTACACCATGTGTGAGTAACACAAGGCCACAAATCCAAGCTCCAAAAGACAGAACTCAACCTAGAGAATACGTTGGTACCAATAACTCCATTTCCCCCGTGGTGGCGCTTGCGGCCTTGTGCTTCTGAGACCCTCATACACTGTATATTTCCTTTTTATTTTTTTATTTTTTTACCTGGACAAGGATTAAGGCCTAGACCAGCATTCCACTGCTTATTAACTCTGCTAAATAAATAAGAAAAGTGAATGAATAAGTTTGAGAATATGAAATAACAAGTTCAATTCTGAAATTATTTAAAACTCTGAAATATTTCTCTGTAAAGTTGTGATAAATTTGATTTCATAGCTGTTATTAATTCCTATGAAAGTAAGAAAAATTATATATATAAGATAATAAGAATGAGAGAAAGATATTGAAAGAATCTCAGAATTATTTAAACTTTAAAGACTATAAAAATTTCTTGAAATATTTTCAATTTATTTTATTTTGTTTTTGTAGGAATAAAAGACCTGCTTGGGTAAGCCTTCCACTGCTATATTACCATCTTCATCCCTTACACAATCCAAACTTGTATAGGATTTGAAGTATTTTGAAGAATTTCAGATTTTTTTTTCAGTTTAGTTCTCTAAATTTGTATATGTTTGTGATCATTTGCAATACAAACTACATAGGACAATTCTGTATATTGAAAACCCAAAAAGGAAATACCAAGTGATACTATACCAATGTTTCTATGTAATTTGTGTATCAACTTGAGTGACCTTAATTTATAACAACAGAGAAAATGAGGTGACTGTCACTGCAAATTTGATGAACAAAGTAAGTGAGTACCACAGGCCTACTAGGAACAGTACGGATAGAGCACGCTGTAAATTAAGCCTTTGGTACACACAAAGGCAGAGTGGTTGCCAAACCTTCCCCAACTATAGTCAGGCCATCGTACTCATTTATAGCTGGGTGAACTAGAAATCCCTAAGATCAAACCAGCAACCCCCAGGCAAGCACTATAGCTACACATTGTCATCTTATCCAGATGTGTAGTGTTCAACTTTCTGTATAATGAATTATTTCTTTCAAAAAGCCTTATACTGTATATTTAAATTGTATTAACCCGTTCAATTTCAGCATAACTTTGTTGCCAACTGTTATATACTATGTGGGAGGTTAGATTGGGGTGGGAACTCAACTACCGACACACAACAAATAGATATGTACAGATAGTAAAGGTAGTACAGGAGGCCTGCCAAGTTCACGGATTATTATTTCACGGTCCTCTATTATTCGCGGATGACACCCTGGATATACACAAGAATGTCTGCGGATAGTTTTAAAGTTATGAACATTTTTGCGGCTGGGACAGGGAGCCATTCGTTCTAGAGACAGTAATTTCCTTTACCTGGATTGTGAATATGTGTACGTGTAAAACAAGTAAAACTGCGACCCCCCACTACCCCTGGTCGGCAAATGTTATTTGCGGATTTGGCGATTTGCGGCCATTTTGAGAACCTAACCCCCACTGAAATATGAATCCAAATCCCTAATTTCTTTTGAGACCCAACTGACACAAACATGAACATGCTTTAGTAAATTTTTTATTGCAAAATATATTTCAATAAATTGAGTTGAGGAGTATTAATATATGCAACCTGTATAACAAACTAAATTTGGAAAATATCCTAGTACTTAACATTATTATAAGAGTACAGTAATTAGAGCAAATATTGATACCGACTTAAAAACCCACCATTATCATGGGGGTTGTTGTTGGTGGTGTCATCATCATCAACAGGGAAGCGATTGATGGCTGGGTCAATTGCTTCCTTAAACTGGTTGTTGGCACCTTTGGGGTCAAGGTCCATCGCCCAGGAGAAGTTCATTAAAGCTAGATGAGTCTGACCCAACTTTTTGTGCACCTGTGAAGGAAAATTTCAAATAAAATTATCAAAAAATACAATATAATTTATATAAGAGTATTTTCTCCCAGCATTAAAAGCCCTTTCCCACTACAACAACAAGAAGTGGCTAGCATCATCAACACTGACCCTACCACATAGACTTTGCTATGATGTTTTCCACCCACAACAAAACCCCAAGACGTCTACATATACAGTATCTGGTTTACTGCTGTCACCCCACAAAGCACCATAACATCACACATCATACCCAAAATTCACTTTATGCCATCCTATCTAGTCAAGCATACACATTTGGTTCCTGCTTCCCCCCCCCGCCATTCTTCCTATCTTTTCCACTCTTATATCTTTCCAGCTCTCAGTCTGTACACACATTTTACTTGTATTCTGCTCAATGTGTGAATACCACCTTAGCAAATCCTGGTAAGTTTTCCATTTTGGGCATTCATTTCATTTCTACAATATCACACACCTCCCTGCAGATTTTTGGTATCCCATCTACACCAAACACTGCTTTCAGGCACAATTTGTCACTCTTGATTTGCTTCTTCTCCTTCCATCCAAGGTCGGCACATGTAAAACATTGCTAATTTAACCATTCTCCATATATCTCCATCTCTGCCTTCTCTAACACAGTTCTTTCCATCCATTTCTCAATGCACCTGTTTCCTTCTTTCTTTCAACAACTATTACTATGCTTTTCCATTTGCTAACATATCCACTCTTAGGTGTCTGAAATACCTCATTTCTTCCATTTTCTTTACAAATTAATATCCACTTTCCCATCTCCCTTCATTATTTACTTAGATTACTTTTGTTCACCATCACTCTCAACTTGCTCATACTTGACACACTTTCAATCTCAAACATTTACAACTTCTCTTCAGAATCATCACCCTCATAACATTACCAGTAAAAAGTAGCTAATTTTTCCTAATCATTCAAATTTGTCACTATCATTTGTGTATTTACCTCTCTTTCTTCCTCATCCATAGTCGGATTTGTACAGAAGTAGAAACACATGCTATGTGCATACTGTACTTACAGAAATATGTCTAAAATCCTACTATATCAGAGCCTAAGTCCTTATATACATCTAAAATCAATTAATTTTAGACAAAAGATATAGAATGACAAAATACAGTAAATGAAAGTAAAAAGTAAATCAGTTATATAAAATACTGTAAATTTCAAGTTTATCCCCGATAGATCGGCGGATGTTCGTAAGTCGTGGTCCCCTTGTACAGCTCTGCTTCCTTATATGAAGGTATTATCTACTGTTATACAAAAAATATTCTTACCTTGCCAAGCAAGAAGTAAACATTAGATTCCTTGGGAACAATCTCTTTTAAGTGATTTAGCTCAGCAAGAGCCTCTTGGTGGTGATCTGTTGCATGTAAAATAGATGCTCTGTGGTATTTACACAGTGGGTTGCGAGGCTCTACTGCCAAAGCACGATTCAAGGTGGCAAGGGCAGCGCTACTCTTCTGTAAGGCGTGCTCCACCTAAAAGATTTTAAGTTATAATGTTACACATACAGTACTATGTAAAATAGATTCAGACATTTCTATTAGCTTATAAATATACCAAAAAATTTCAATAAATTAAATCTGGAGTGAAAATGGTTCAGATGTTGGTTATTAGGAATATAGTTTAGCTGGTCTTAAAAATATATATACAGGTAAGCCTCGCTATTCGCACTTGATATTTTAAAATCCATATTTAACATTTGTAAAGCATACCCCACTTATTTGCAAAACGAATTACAAAAAAATAATACCCATGGAGATAGCATGTTGCTATAAATAAGAAAAATGAAGAACATGGGTGTGAATGTGTGTAAAGTGAATGTATGTGTGGACTTGGCTGTCACCAAGTTAGACTGTCCCTGTAGCTACATCCACCTACCAGGCCAAGCTGTGTTGCTGTTATTTTTTCAACTCGTAGTTATGGGTAGATATAATGTACATAATATTCTTCATTTCTTTTATATTGTTTCATGCACACAAAATTGTTCATACAGAATGTGCAAAAAAAAAAAAAAAATCATCATATGCTAAAAAAACAGAGGGAATAAACATTTATTAGGAGCACAGTAGTTAGCGCATGGATCATGGGAAGAGGAGGAGATAGCAGAATTGCATATCTCAGCTACTCCAGTCTCCTGGGAAACTATTGCCAACTGGCAATGTAGTATTCTATTCTTTTATTTTATTTATTCCTCATTTTCACTGGTACTACAGTATACACATGACCTTGGTCCCCAATAGTCTCGGATAATGAGGAGTGTATATTGAATACTGTAATATGTGGTGAAAGTTACCGGCTTATGGGGAAAATTGCCAATATTCGCAATGACTCTTGGAAAAGCATCCTTTGCAATAACAGGGGTAGTCATCTACTGTATACTGTACAGTACAGTCGACCCTCGTTAATTCAGACCCCTTTAATCCGGATTTCGGATAAATCGGACGAAATCGGAACTGTCCTTATAAAATTTCTGGTTCTGGGATTGTCCCAGTTGCAATTGGGGTTGCAATTTCAAACTCTGTGTCACTACTAAGGAATAACAAAGTCTCTGGTGCACTCTAAGATTAAGAGAAAACGGACGACTCAGGCGTCCTGAAGTGAGAGAAAACGGACTCCTATGACGGGGCACTCAAATAAAGAGACATGGCTACATGTTTTGTGGACTAGCCACTGTACAGTATCCTTTTCATCACTTTGTAGTAAACCTCGTCATGCCTATGTGTTTCTGATAATTACCATAACATTATATATTTATCGGTTGTACAAACACAAGGCCTCACACATGCCACTCAGACTGACAGACTTGATAAGTTTTACCAACCATAAAGACAGTTGAAGCTTTAAACATCACTCACAATGGATCTTGAATATTTCAACTGTAAACAGACATACCTAAGTTGCCTCAACAATTGCAACCCCAGTTGCAATATCAAATTCTGTGTCAATACTAAGGAATAACAAAGTCTCTGGTGCACTCTAAGATTAAGAGAAAACGGACGACTCAGGCGTCCTGAAGTGAGAGAAAACGGACTCCTATGACAGAGCACTCAAATAAACATACACATAGCTGTATAATGCAATATTATGCAATATTAACCTCTAAATCGGTTAATTCGGACAATCGGCTAAAATGGACACCCTTCCCCCCCTATTAGTCCGTTTTAACGAGGGTCAACTGTATATACATTTTCTTTTGTACTGAATTATTTCATAGTTTTACCACAACACAACATCTGCCATTGTGGTGATCTAGGAGTGGCTCTACTGAAGCTGATCCTGTGAATGGGATAAGATATTATCAACAAAAGAAGAGTTAACAAGACAAAATGCCTTTGATTCCACTCTATCTAAAAATTGGACAGAAGAGGAGCCACCCCAGATGTGAGAGCAGTTCACCAAGTTAAGATGAATGAATCCCTTATAAAATTGCTCAGGAGTGAAGTAGCTACGGTATCTGTACAGCATTCCCAGCTTTTGTTAGGCAGCCTTAGCAATGTTGTGGATGTGTGGCTTCCATGACATTGTAGAGGAGATGGTGAGACCCAGTATCTCTATTTTAGATTTTAGCAAAAAGATTGCATCCTGAAATGTGATTGGAAGGAGATTTTCTATTTTGGAAAGTGTAATTGGTAAATACAGTGATTTATTACTATTGAATTTAGCCAAGTTTCTACCTCCCCATTCAGAGATGCTGCACATATCCGCATTGATAGATGAAATGATATCAGATCTAGAAACAGATCTAGTTTGAGAATTAGGGGGAAGGGGAAAATGTGAAGAGTGAAGAGTAGAATCATCAGCGTAAGAATGGTTAGAATTAGTCGTAGTGTGAATTGTGAAGTATATCATTGATAAAAAGAAAGAAGAGTAGGTGAAAGAACAGAACCCTGTGGGACACCACTATTGGTAGAGAAAGAGCAAGAGATCGATCCCTCGACAACAATTGCGATGGATCGTTCTCAAGGAAGCTAGAAATTAGAGAACAAAGTGGGGGAGAGAAACCATAAGAGGGAAGTTTAGAAAGAAAAGACTTGTGCCATACCGTCAAATGCTTTGGAGATGTCGAGGGCCACGACGAAAATTTCCCCATAACCCCTAAGAGAGGATGACCAAAGATGGGTGTAATAGGAAAGCAGATCACCAGAAGATCTCGCCTGTCAAAAGCCAAACTGGTGATTCGACACAAGAGAAAGGCGTTCAGGTTGATGGAGAAAATGCGAGTTTAAGATAATTTCGAAAATCTTAAGAGAAGGATGAAGTTAGGGCAATGGGGCTATAGTTAGAGGGATGAGAATGGTCATCCTTCTTCGGAATGGGCTGAACTGTGGCATACTTCCAAGAAAAAGTTTGGTTTATGAGGCAAAGGCGAAAGAGGCGAGCAAGTACAGGGGCCAGAATTTCAGCACACTCCCTCAGAACACGAGGGGGTATTCCATCTGGTCCAAGCGCCTTACTCACATCCAACCTGGATAACACACCAGCAACCCTACGAGTGGCAATAATAGGAAAGTGCATAGGTTCAGAAGGAGGAGTAGGAGGGATAGAGTTGGAAACATCTAAGGTGGAGTTAGAGGAGAATAAGGTGTCAATGAGATTGGCTTTGTCAGGGGGAGAGTTGGCTACAGAGTTATCAGGTTGGAAGAGAGGAGGAAAAGAGGGATTGCAAAAGTTATTACAGATGTTTTTGGTTAAAGACCAGAAGGATTTACTAGTGGAAGAGTTAGTCAGGACAGTGGTCTTTCTTTTTATAAAATTCCATTTGGCCCTACGAAGAATAGCCTTAAAACAATTCCTAGAAGTAATGAAAGAGGAGTGGGTAATAGGAGGAGGAGGTAGTTTTATAACTTGATAAGCCTTATCTCTCTCCCTACATGCAAGAGAACAGGAGCGATCAAACAATGATTGTAAAGTGAAAGTTTTGACAGAAGATGGGATAAATGCACTCATACCACCGAGTATAACCCCAGCAATGCTGTCAGCACATACTGAGGCGTCCCGAATGGAAAAGTAACATTCATCCCAAGGAGTCGGAAAAAAATTCTCGCAAGGATTGCCAGTTTGCCCTCCCATAGTGCTATAGTTGGCATTCAGAGCAGGGTGGGGGAGGTGGTCATGCCCAGTTTGATTTAATAGAAATAAGATTGTGATTAGAAGACCCGAAGGGTCAAGAAATTGAGTATGAATAGTGTGAGGGGTTAGAGGTAAAACAAAGATCAAGAATGTTAGCAAGTTGATCGCGTCAATCTGGAACGCGTGTAGTGTGTTTAATTATTTGTTCCAGATCATTAAGTAAGGAAAAATGGTGCCTCAGTTGCAATACAATAGTATTTATTAAGTGGTTATAAATACACTACAATCGTATTTATTAAGTGGTGATAAATACACAAATGTACTGTACTAATTTACTAAGTGTTGAAGACAGGCATAGTGGTAAGCCAACCAGCTGTTTGCTCTTGGTAAACAAATGAGTATGAAATGACTCATGTTCTGTGAGGGATTCTTTTTTCAGGAAAGTTGATTCTTTTAGGATAATATTTTATCAATCTGGCACCAAATGAACCTAAGTTATATGAGAACTGTGGTGGAATTGCATAAATAAGTGTTTCAGGAATCTTGTGGGAGAAAGGGAGAGGGAGCCACCCACCCCTCTGCCAGCTGCTCCCAGATAAACATTCGTCTTCCACATACAGTACAATATACTCCTACATTTATTTGTTCTTTTTTTTATCTTTGGTTACTTACATATAACACTTTACAGTAAATCATCTCATTGACAACCAGACTTGCATGTCTGATTTTCGACCTAGAGAGTTCTGTTTCACATTTTTTTTTCATTCTTGATGTAATATTCTTTTAATAACCTTGTTATACTCTGCCCCAATTAGTCCAATTTATCGAGGTTCTATTGTGTGTGTGTGTGTGTGTGTGTGTGTGTGTGCGTGTATGTATGTATCTTGATAAAATCACACGGGAAAATGGAAACAACGGAGCACCTTAGCTTTCGTCTTTATTCAAGACATCTTCAGAGGCCTGTAAAATTGATTGTGTCATCATGGCAAGAAGTCTCCACTATATCCCTCAATTCTTTATGGAAAGCACTGTGGCCATCAGTAGTCCATGATTTTGAGGGATTTGAGGAAGAAACAGAGTTGGACCAGGAGATTGTGTCCATTAGCCAGTCATTGGGCCTTGAAGTGGAGGAGGAGGATGTGGAAGAGCTTGTGATGTCTCATGAGGAGGAACTTACTCCTGATGACTTGAAGCAACTGGATGAGATGTTACAGGTAGAGGCTGACAGTGGTGAGGAGGAAATTGAAAGTGATGACCATATGTCAGCTAAACAGTTGAAAGATGTGATTTACTACTGGGAGAAGTTCAGGGAACTGGCTTCAAAGCACCCAGAAGTGTCATGTTGAGGACTCAGTGGTCTCCTTCTTTAAACATAAGTTAATGGTGAGGAGGACAGATGCCCCACAGACCACAATTGACACTTTCTTCAGTAAAAGGCAGAGGGAACAAGATGCTATCCCTCAGCCTTCCACTTCAAGAAGGAGAGAGGATGTTCATGGTGGAGAATCTGTCAGTCCAGAGGTTCCTGACATTTTCATGGAAGGTGACTCACCTTCCAAGAAGCAGTAAAATGCTTCTCCTCCACCTCCACTTCCTTCTCTTCTCCCTTCTCCTCCTCCACCTCCCACTTCAAATGCACATCATCATCATCATCCAGGAGCCTTCTACATACACACCTCAAAGTAAGTGAACTTTTCTACCATTTTTGTTGAATTTAGGAAATTTTCGGTGAGCTGGAACCAATTACCCAAAACCCATTGAAACAATGGTTTCGGTTAACGAACAACCTTCTGGAACGGATTGTGCTCGTTAACCGAGGGGTGTGTGTGTGTATGTGTATATATATATATATATATATATATATATATATATATATATATATATATATATATATATATATATATATATATATATATATATATATATATATATATACCTACACCCCGACTTACGACTACGTGGACTTACGACCGTCGGGACTTACGACCGCCTCAGATATAGATAAAAAAAAATAAATAAAATAAAAAATAAATTTTTTTTTTTAAATGACACACGCATTTTCTATACCGAAACGTTTCCAGTTAATGTAGTCTCCATGTATAATTAGAAAATTATGGGGGCCCCATGTGCATTCAGCTGACTACATTAAAGGTTAAGTGCTCAGTCACACTGTATCCATTCCTTATTATTTATTACTTTCACTGTACTGTATCCATTCATCATTATTCATTACTTTTACTGTACTGTATTTCATTGTAGATTTTTTATTAAAAAAAAATTTTTTTTTTTATCTATGTCGGACTTACGACCATGTCGGACTTACGACCTGGATTTGGGTCCCTAACCCCGTCGTAAGTCGGGGTCTAGTGTGTGTATATATATATATATATATATATATATATATATATATATATATATATATATATATATATATATATATATATATATATATATATATATATATATATATATATATATATATATATATATATACATATACATACATACATATACATACAGTGGGGTATGCTATAACGAACGGTTCCTACTACGAATATTCCTATAACAAACGGTTTTACCTATAAAATTGAGAATGCTATAACGAACGAAACTCCTACAACGAACATTATTTAAATTTTTTTTTCCCTAATTTATTGATTTTTATTACAAGTTTTAATGATATTCTTTATTTCAGGGGTTTAGATGCATATGTATGCACTTTTTACAATTTTTACAATTTTATATTATATTTTTCAGTGTTAAGTGGTTGTATTTGGGGGCCTGGAACGAACGAATCCTATAACGAACGAATGCTATAACGAACAAGGTTCTAGAACCAATTAGATTCGTTATAGCATACCCCACTGTATACATATATATATATATATATATATATATATATATATATATATATATATATATATATATATATATATATATATATATATATATATATATATATATATATATATATATATATATATATATATATATATATATGTGCAAGTAAATCACTGTGGGTGCGCGTGATCTAGGTACATGCTGATAACCACAAGGAAAGAAGAAAACACGAAGTTCCCAAGCGCTTTCGTGTAATTCACCTGGCGCTTGAGAACTATATATCATATATATATATATATATATATATATATATATATATATATATATATATATATATATATATATATATATATATATATATATATATATATATATATATATATATATATATATATATATGCATGCATGCACATTCTGCATTTAGAATTATAGAATTGTGTGTGCATGTAAATGGGGAAAAAAAAGTTACATTTATTTACCCCAAATTACAAGTTGAAAAATAACCATAATATAACTCCTATCTCAGCCTGGTAGGGGGAGTACTAATGGGGATGTGGCCGCCCTAGCTAACTCCAGGGGGCACGTGATTTGAATTTTTGCTGGAACTCATTTTGTATAAGCAGGAAAAGCTTTCATAACCCAAAATAGTCGAGTCAATTTAAGAAATTCATATACCTGTAAGTAAATTTTCGTATCTCGAGGGATACTTGTAATGTAATATTACTGAAATAAATAATGTTAACTTACCACAGCCACATGGCACATGAGAACAGAACTGTGTGGGTGGATACTGAGGGCCTTCTTAAAGTGAGACTCAGCTTGAGCAAACCTCTCTTGCTTGAATAGCACCAGACCAATGCCATACCTGTGTGAAACATACTGCTAATGAACCCCTTCACTGGTTAGTTTTCTCTGGTGGATGGATCTTCACAGTGAGTAATAATTATAATAATAATAATAATAATAATAATAATAAAGGTAGGTATCATATGCAAATATTTTAGCAACAATTCTTAGCATATGTCATCTTGATATAGTTTAGAGAGAGAGCACAACAGCCTTGTTAAGCTGTTATATGTAAAAGTATTTTATGGACAAGATATTAGCATGCTTGATCCTTGGACTAGAAGTGAGGGGTTGTGTACAGCTCTGAGATGGTAACCTACTCACTCACCCATTGGGATAAAATTTTTCCCTATCCACAAATCTATTTTAGACTGTATCACTGTAAGGATAAATATTAAATAACCAAAGGTAGACTTTTTATAATAATTATTATAAAAAGTCTACCTATGGTTTGTTTAATATTTATCCTGACAGTGATACAGCCTAAAATAGATTCGCCAATCACAATCACCATTACATAAAGCCTTACTTTACCAAGTACTGTATTGCCACATAAAATTGCGAGTACGAGACCCAGGTTAGGGTCGCTTGATCTTTGGTTGACTGCACATTATAGAATGGCTTAATCTACCTGTCTATCCACTTGATTACTTGTTTCTACTCAGTAACCTGGAAACGATCATTAAGAAATACTCAGAGAAGATTGAACAAGAGTAAACCTTCTCTACTCAAGGGACAGTACACGTACAGTAAGTCCTCGCTTAACGTAAGGGGTTACATTCCTGAAAATGCGAGGTTATACGAAACAACGTTAAGCGGATAAATTTTCCTGTAAGAAATAGATAAAATATGGGAGTTACGTTCCTGAGCCTCCCTTTGCCCCATGAAATACATTACATATACAGTTGGCTCTTCATTTACGCGGTCAATTGGACCTGCTGAGTACCGCGTAAAACGAGAAACGAGTAAATGAAATAACAGAACATATGGTATAAATTGAAATAGAGACTGGGCCGACCCCCAAATTCCATTTTTTCCGACACAATATGTACCTTGTAGTCAAAATAACATATTAATTTTATGATGGTATGCACACACAATTAATATTTAAGAGAAATATCAATAATATTAGGTTTTTTAACACTTACGCTAGTAAAAAAGATGGCTGGGCACACGAGGATGGGAGGTTGGTTCCGAGGCAGAGGGCAAATTATTGGCCCTCACCTGTATCACCTGTATTACTTGAATCAATTGTATCACTATCCACCACATAGGCTTGCAGGGCCTCTTTGTCAAACCCCTCAAAGTCCATATCCTCACTATCACTACCACTGACTTGGACCGGCTGTGGTAGGTGGCGGGTGAAGAACTCGGTAATGTTTAGATGACTGGGCGACCTTGTGCGCACCCTGCCCGCGCCGCTTCCCGAGTAAATGACCAAATTTACCGCGTAAATCAAGAATTTAAATTCTGGCGTAAACCAACACCGCGTATATCCAGACTCAACTGTACATAAATTAAAACTCCTTGTGTGATGCTTGGTGAGGTGCTTGTATGCATTATTATATTACATTCATTGAGATTTTATAAGAGAAAAACTTAAAACTCCTCTACATGACAGATAAATAAATACCATTAGGTGACCTTGGTTGACCGGCGGGCTGACACCAGCTGTCATAATACATCACCTCCCACTCCACACTTCTGGCAAGATTGAAGGTGGCTTAGGCTTAAATTTTTTATCTTATAAAATGGCACAGACTAGTTAGCAGAATATAAATTGCATTGCTGGAATCCTTGCAAGACAGAGAATAATATGAATTTAGACATAAATTTTGCACAAGAGATACAAATTCTAGCCTCTTAAGTTCATTTAAGTACTGTACTGTACATGTTTTTCAACTTATTTTTCAGTAGATATGGCAACTTTCTTCATTTATTTTTACTCATTTACATGCACACACCATCAAAAATACATATTATGAAAAAGGTACAAAGCAGTCTGTGACGACTCAAACGACGTTGTACCGAGTCACCGGGACGTTAAACGAATTTTTGGTCTCTTAAAGTTTAGCAACGTAGTACCGAAACAACATTAAGCGGGCCGACGTTAAGTGAGGACTTACTGTATATGATGATAATCAAAATCTAACATGTAATTATTGATGACAGAACTTACCAGGCATTATAGTGTCGAGGATCTATTCTCACAGCACTCCGGTAGCAGCTCAGTGCATTGTCTAGTTCTTCTGTTGCGATGTGTTCATGACCTAGTAAAGTGTACGCATAGGCAAAGTTTGGGTCAACCTGAAAGAACAAGGACAGAGATTAATCCCAATTTCCTTCAAGAAATTTGACCAAATATTTCCCTGATTCTGATTAACAACTGTAACAGGTCAGGTACAGAAGGTGGAAGTGTCTCATCAGGTGAAGTTTCCTGACTAAGCCAGATTAATTATATAAGAAGATTACACTATCAAAATGAAATGAGACAAAAAAATAAAAATAAATAAAAATCTTGACAATACTGATAATAGTGTATTTAAATAGTTAAATACATTCAGTAATTCAAATTAAATTTTCTTCAGGACACAAACCAGAGTGACAGTGAAGGAGATCCAGGACACAGACTGTTTCTTTAGCCTTACCTCAGCCTCTGCCTAGTCATGGTGAGCAGGCTTCATATTCTTTGCAGTGACTGATTGATATTCAGGCTATTAATCTCTCTATTGTTTGACTGCAATAAATCAAGGCCATTAAATTTTAATGTGTGTGTCCTTTAATTCAATAAGGCTTTATCAACTTTAGACCTCCCTATATAGTGATTGGACCAATTGGTACAGAGCACTCCAGCAATGAGAGATTTCCGGGTTATGAGGCGACTCTCTCAAAGCAGGAAAAAAAAATCCCCATCACCGGAATTTTCCGGGTAATGGAAAAAAGTTCTCGGAAGTTCCAGAAATTGCCCATTACATCATCTCTCCGACTCGAAAAAACATTCCTAATCCACGGAATTTTCCAGGTACCGGAAAAATTGTCTTGGAATTTCCATAAATGTGCCCGATTTTCATCTCAAACACAGAAAAAACTCCCCCATCCCCGGAATTTTCTTGGAATCGGGAAAACTTTGTCAGAATTTTCCGGAAAATGTGCTCCTTGGAAAATCATTCCCAAAGCTGTAATTTTCTGGAAAATTCTGGAGTTGTGAATGATTTTCCGAGAAAATTTCTATTCCTGCTATCGGAGAGTTCCGGCTAAGAGATATTACTTACTTCGTAATCCCTTCCTTCACTATGCAATGATAACTAGTAATGTCTCACACCTCACTGGAAACTTAAATCATTATTAGTCATTCACACAATCCTTATTCCCTGGCACCTGCTCTACAATATTCATCATTGTGTATACCTGGATTGCTCTAGAAAAGAATCTGATGGCTGCCTCATGTTCTTTTTGAAGAGAAAAACAGTTGCCTGTAGCACACCATGCCTGAGGACACTCTCGATCTTCTTCAACTAAATCCTGTTGAAAGAGAAATTATAAAAAAAAAAAAAAAAAAGGATTAATAGAAATAATGTTTTATGACAGAGGGAATAAGCAAGCGACCTAGAGAGATCTAACCATTAAGAATTATTAGGAAAACCCTACCATATATCTCCAGGCTTATATATGCTTAATGGTATGGTTGGACACTATCTTTATAGATATTGTTTACACTCTTAGATAGACAGTGAACTTTCTCTAATGAATATTTCAAGGATACAGTATATTTTTATACAGACAGCAACAATGTCTCCATTTCATTATTATTTACCTGTGCTAAAGCTGATAGCTGAACTTCCTTTTGTAAATGCCAGAGAGCTGTGCTGTAGTACTCCATCAAATGGAGGCGATGTGGTTCTCTCTCTCTTACATCACTGAAGAATCTAGTAAATTATATGATGTCACGACACAATATTTCAACATTCCTTGTTCCTAGTCTACCAAACTAAAATATGCATACAAATAAAAAGCAGTGAAAGCCAGGTCTAGGTTTGGTGAATAATGATACATTACTGGATATAATTGGAAGGTGACTCAGGTTGTTTGCAAGTGACAATCACCGTTCTAGCCACTGAGTTATTAGGAAAAGTAACAAATATTTGTGAAAGAGTTTGGAAGCATTTGTACTTAAAGAAAACCAATAAAGAAGATGAATTAAAATAAAAATTAAAAATGTGAAAATAAGTAAAATAGTAGAGAAAGGAGAGAGATAATTGTTAATTTGAATGTGGACTGAATAGAAGTAGTGGAGTGTGACATAACTGAGACTGGATGTATCAGGTAATGGAGAATGAGAAGTGAATTTAATCAGAATACATGCACTGACATATGTATGAGGCTGAACTCTATCAATGGAGACAATGATGGGGGATGTGGAGTGGAATCACTGAACCGACTTGATCAAATAAGTGTGAAACCTGAACTCAAGATACAGGAATAATAAGGAAAATAGAAGTGACAAATCATATGCCTGAGAACAATGCTGTATGTGGGATCAACAAGCTGCACACAATAAGAAATACAGAAATCAGGAAATAGTAAAGTGAAAGATGTATGAGGTAGAGTGGATCTGGGTCTTTCTGGTGTTATACAAATACTGTGAGAACAGAAAGTGAAGGATTGGTAAAATGTTTGAACATCAAATGCTTTATCAATATCTCCATAACTAACAGGAAAAATGGAACTTACTAAATTTCAGATAAATGATCAATGTTCTTATGGGATCAATTGTTTCGATAACCATTGAATCACTAACCAACAACCTTTTCCAGTCCCCAATTGCATCGGTTATCAGGGTACACATGTACAGGAAATGGAAAACATCTTAGCTTTCATCTTTATTCAAGACATCTTCAGGACAGGTCAGTAACGTGAGACCACCAATTCCCCATCCAATCTCTATCCCAAATGTAAGATGTAAAAAGTGATAAGAGTTATGTACAGTAAACCCTTGTTGTTCATGGGGGTTAGGTTCCAAGAAATGGCGCGAATAGGCAAAACCATGAATAGCAACTTGTACTACTTTAGTGCACAACTGTATACCTATACCAGCCACAGCAGCACTCATCCCCTCTTTCAACTTATCTAATAATTCAACTTTCTTTGTCAGGGTCATAACTGACTTCTGCCTTTTACGTTTCACTCCACTAGCACTGACACTAAAGTTTTGACCACAACACAAGAGATACTGCATTGCAGGCAATAGTTGAGAGCAAACAAGGCAGAAGAGACAATGCAGGTGTGTGGGGGCGACTCATTACGCTGCGGGAGAGGCTCGCAAGCTAGCAACCATCTGCTTACAACGAATAGTCGAAACCGTGAATCGCAAACCCGCAAATGACGGGTTTACTGTATACTTTATTGTACATTCAGCAGAGTGAACAGTGTATGCCTACTGTAGACTCAAGACAACATCATCTGCTGGTGAGTACAGCTCCCCGACTTACGACCTACTCGACTTACGACCTGCCTCAGTCGTACCAAAATTTTGTCAAATTACGTATTTTCAAGTCCCAACGTGTGATATACACAGTTTAGACTCTTGGGAAAGCTTTCCTAAGTAGGGTGGAAAATTCCATTCCTGGCTGACAAAAGCTCCATTCATGCCTCGCCTGCCTGTATCGTAAAGATGTTTTGTTTTTTATATATACCGTATTTTTCGGCTTGGAAGACGCTGCATCGTGGAAGACGCACCCTGATTTTGGAAATGAAATTCTAAAAAAAAAAAAAAAAAATTACAGGTTTTAGCCCACCTGGGCACAGGTCACTGACCCACATTGGGGCCTAGGGGGCGAAAATGTAATAATAATAATAATAATAATAATAATAATAATAATAATAAAAATAATAATAATAATATACAAAAATGAAAAAAAAATATCAAGAGTGAGAAACAATATACCTGTATGTATGTTGTGTTGTCAAAGCAAGAGAAACAATTGAGACCCTGCAGAAAGTCAGATCATCAACCTGGGACTTGGTCACATAGCAGCAGGGTCTACCATTAAACAATACATTATGCTTCCAATATCTTCCAAACTTAAATACAACTTCGTCATCCAAGTAAAAACACACACACAACAACATTGGTTGTCCTTATGTTTTCAACTTTACCACCACTGGTGGGTAGAATTTTTTTTTAATTCTGAAACATTAATTAAAATACAGATGTACCCCACTTAACGCGGTCAATTGAACCCAGAGGGTCCCACGTTAAGTGAAATCCGCGTTAAGTGAAATCCGCGTTAAGTGAACAACAGAACATATGGGATTAATTCCAATAGAAACCGGCCCGACCCCCAAACTCCACTTTTTGAAGGCACATACCTATGTTGTAGTAAAAATAACATCTTAATTTTATGATGGTACATGCACACAATTAATACTTAAGAGAAATAGAGAAATACAGTCGCCAAGTTAATGTCCATTCAAATAATGGACTCAACTCCCTCCCCCTCTCACACTACACTGCCGGCTCTTCCCTCTCAGAGAAATTTTTGGGGGAAAACCACTAAATTTTAATAAATAATACCTCAAACTAAAGTTAGGATAATACAATTGACATTGCTGGATTCCTTGTAAGACCAGGAATATTTTGAATATAAATGTCATATATTTTGCACAAAAGATAACATAGTTACCTAGAGAAAAATTTTTATCTAAAATTTGTATGTTTAATGCAAAATATATGATGTTTATATTCAAAATGATCACCAAATTATAAGAATTCCAGCAATGTAAATTATATTCTGACCGGGTAATTTGTATGAATTTTATGAGCTAAAACAAATATCTTCAGTTAATAAAAAAAAAAATAATCTTCACGACACTATCTGTCAATCAAAGTACCCCACCTTGCCTCCCCCCCTCTTCCAACCGCGCGGTCAGTCCCAACCCTCCCCCCCACCCCCCACCAATCCTCCCTTCCAGAGTTTTTAACATTTAGTATTAAATAATACCTCAGATTAAAGTTAGGATAATATAATTGACATTGCTGGATTCCTTGTAAGACCAGGAATATTTTGAATATAAATGTCATATATTTTGCACAAAAGATAACATAGTTAATTTGAGAAAAATTTTTATCTAAAATTTGTATGTCTAATGCAAAATATATGATGTTTATATTCAAAATGATCATCAAATTATAAGAATTCCAGCAATGTAAATTATATTCAGACCGGGTAATTTGTATGAATTTTATGAGCTAAAACAAATATCTTCAGTTAATAAAAAAAAAAATAATTCTTCACGGGGTAACAGATGGTCGGTCGGTCCCTCCCTCCCCCCCACCCCCCACCAACCGTCCCAAGGAGATGTGTGGGATAACCACTAAATTTTAATAAATAATACCTCAAACTAAAGTTAGGATAATATAATTGACATTGCTGGATTCCTTGTAAGACCAGGAATATTTTGAATATAAATGTCATATATTTTGCACAAAAGATAACATAGTTACTCTGAGAAAATTTTTTATCTAAAATTTGTATGTCTAATGCAAAATATATGATGTTTATATTCAAAATGATCACCAAATTATAAGAATTCCAGCAATGTAAATTATATTCTGGCCGGGTAATTTGTATGAATTTTATGAGCTAAAACAGGCAGTCAGGCAGGGTGGCGGGTGGGGCAAATCTAAAAATAGCGTCTCGAGCCGGACACTCACCGCGTATATGTGGAAAAAATCCGTGTTAAGTGAAAGTTCAGCTCTGGCGAGGCACCGCGTATATGATAAAACGCGTTAAGTGAAACCGCGTTAGGCGGGGTAATACTGTATATATGAACAGTAAATAAGTGTTGCTTTCATATTCTTATGTAGAGAATTACGATATGTTTACACTTATGGTCACTTACATATGCCATCTCACTTTTTTCTTAACCATTAATAGTTAGCTACTTATATTGTTCCATTTATTAACATTAAATAACATGACTTAAAACAACCATATTAAATTTTTTACATTAATTTTACTACAGCTACAACCAGGGTCTTATTTCTTGTTTTATATGTAGAACCAGTCAGTCACTTGTTTTGTAAACATTAACTAAACAGCGTCATTTCTCTTATGTACAACAGATTCATTATTGTTTATTACTTAATTTATTTTTTATTTAATTAATGATTATGTGTGCAAAATGAACAATATAATTCATTAATAATACACAGAATATTAAAACACACGAGGAGACGAGACGGCATTGTTTTCGTTGTTTACAAAACCAGTGACTGACTGGTTCTACATATAAAACTGAAGAAAATAAGACCCTGGTTGTAGCTGTTGTAAAATTAATGTAAAAAATTTAATATGGTTGTTTTAAGTCATGTTACTTAATGTTAATAAATGGAACAATATAAGTAGCTAACTATTAATGGTTAAGAAAGAAGTGAGATGGCATATGTAAGTGACCATAAGTGTAAACATACCGTCATTACTCTACATAAGAATATGAAAGCAACACTTATTTACTGTTCATATATATTTTAATTAATGTTTCTGAATAAAAAAAAAATTCTACCCACCAGTGGTGGTAAAGTTGAAAACATAAGGACAACCAATGTTGTTGTGTGTGTGTTTTTACTTGGATGACGAAGGTGTATTTAAATTTGGAAGATTTTAATTTTGTGGGGTTTCACAGTCTAAATGGGTATCCAAATATGAGAGCCTACTGTAAATGGGTATCCAAATATGAGAGCTTACATATAAAGAAACAAACATTCCTGCATTTGAGACCAGCAGACAACCTTCAGCAATTCCTCAATAGATGGCGCTGCCGCACCACTGCCATTAGTAAACAAACCACACAGCAGCAAGGGTTTATTTTTATTTTTTTTGCAATATATCAACAATATTAGTTAAATCAATAGTTTTGTAGTACTGTATAGAGAATACTTGTAATTGTTAAGTACTGTAATGAGGAACAGTCTTTGTAAGGGGCTGATTTCTAAAACCTCTGCTACAACTTATCGACTAGTGTCCTGGAAGACGCATGGTAATCTTCGAGGTATATTTTTGTCATAAAAAGTATGTCTTTGAAGTCGAAAAATACGGTATATACAGTAAAGATCCTGAGTACAAGACTAATTAGCCCTGTCACTGCACAAAGCAAATGTAGTCGATTTTAAATTATTGTGCTACACCGTGAAAAGAAACTGTAGTCCAGTGTCAAATATTTTTGTTATTACGTCCTTAAATCGATTTTGTTCCAAGAGTTTGAATGCAACACTGGCCCTGGGTTGTGCTGCCATCTTTCAGCAAAAGCTCAACCACAATATGCAAAGTTGCAGATGATGTCTGACGCCTGAGCCCAGCGATTGCCGACCGTCATATAATACTTTCTATCAGCTATCATCCAAAAAAATGGTAAGTTTTTATTGTTATATGGGGATAAGCTGTGTAAGTGTGAAATTATATATAAAAGGATAAAGACTGCAAATAGTGATGAATATACGTCAATACAGTCGACCCTCGTTAAAACGGACTAATAGGGGGGGAAGGGTGTCCATTTTAGCCGATTGTCCGAATTAACCGATTTAGGGGTTAATATTGCATTATACAGCTATGTGTATGTTTATTTGAGTGCCCCGTCATAGGAGTCCGTTTTCTCTCACTTCAGCACGCCTGAGTCATCCGTTTTCTCTTAATCTTAGAGTGCACCAGAGACTGTTATTTCTTAGTAGTGACACAGAATTTGATATTGCAACTGGGGTTGCAATTGTTGAGGCAACTTAGGTATGTCTGATTAGTTGGAATATTCAAGATCCATTGTGAGTGATGTTTAAAGCTTCAACTGTCTTTATGGTTGGCAAAACTTGTCAAGTCTGTCAGTCTGAGTGGCATGTGTGAGGCCTTGTGTTTGTACAACCGCTAAATATATAAATATATAATGTTATGGTAATTATCAGAAACACATAGGCATGACGAGGTTTATTACAAAGTGATGAAAAGGATACTGTACAGTGGGTAGTCCACAAAACATGTAGTCATGTCTCTTTATTTGAGTGCCCCGTCATAGGAGTCCGTTTTCTCTCACTTCAGGACGCCTGAGTCGTCCGTTTTCTCGTAATCTTAGAGTGCACCAGAGACTTTGTTATTTCTTAGGAGTGACACAGAATTTGAAATTGCAACCCCAATTGCAATTGGGACAATCCCAGAACCAGAAATTTGATACGGACAGTTCCGATTTCGTCCGATTTATCCGAAATCCGGATTAAAGGGGTCCGAATTAACGAGGGTTGACTGTATATGCTTTAAGTTTCTAGCCATTTTATGGCGGCTGAGGAATGCTGTTGAACTACCGCTGTTATTGGTGCCCCATTTTCTGTGGTGGCATGAATGTGATGTATTTTTACTGACTAATTACCAGTTAATTGTGTTATTTGCTTCTGGTATATGTTTCAGCTAATGACTCTATCTACCTTTACAGAGCCATGGGTGTTGGGAGAGTTGTGCCACTTCCTTGCAAGGATATATATATATACTGGTGCAGCTATGTGTTTTTAATGCATGTATCAGCCACACTGAGATGAGGTGGGGTGAACGGATTCCTTGAGAAACACCAGTAACTCTGGTGTCCCGCTCACTTTTACATCTCCTTGAGTAGTGCTGGCGCTTGCGCACCCTACCCAGGGTACATTACCAACCTGCGGTACAAGTACACTCCTCAGACTACTTTACCTTCACAATACCAGTTACAAAATATTATTTTTTAATAGTTTTCATAAAAAAACATGAATTTCACTAGTTACCCACATTTCAAAGGAATTAAGTGCCAGATATGATAACTTTGTTATTCTCATAATATGAAAGTAAGAAAAAAGCTCAAATTAGCACTTTCAATTTGGGGGCGACTTAATGACACTTGTTGGGAATAATTAAGACATCAAACGACACGGGGAAAGGGTCAAGGCACAGCGATGTCGTTACTCACACAAAATCCCTTATCCGGACGTCCATATCAGCAGGGAGGCACAACTGTTCAAAACAACAGCCAGCATATTACACTAACACAGAGTGACTTATTTATCCTAATGATAAATTAGTTCAAGTAAAATAATCATACCTATGATATACTTTCAAGAAATTAAGTTTTTTGTTATTTAAAGTGTTACTAGATGTAAGTATGGTTCTATATTCTAGAATGTATGCATATGTATGGCCTTATGCAGTGTGAGATAATGTGAATGTGTACAGTATACCATATACACTGTACAGTTATATGAATGGGTTAGGTTCCTGAAAAACCACCCATTGTGAAATTTTTTATAGTTAATAAAAGAATACAGTACAGTTTATGGGAAAAATAGGGTTCAGTTCCCCAATGACATGAAGAACCCAATATCATACCATAAAAAAATAAAAAATCAGTTCACAAACAACAAAAAGCCTACATAACTACAGTAATGATGAACAGTATACAACTACCATAATTTACTACCTAACACATTAAAATATTAATAAAATACTATTTAAAACCATAAGGAAAAGCTGAATCAAAGTTTAACACAGTTGTGTCACTCGTGGCCACCCTCAAGCCTCGCAACAGTGATGCTCCCCCTCCCACTCCTACACACAAAATGTTTCTTCCCTTTGTTTTTGATCCTGTGACAGTTATTTTTTTAACTTTTTGGGGGGACATGCTGTATTCAGGATTGTGTTCACGTAGCTGAAAACAAAAAAAGAGGTGAAAGTGAGGAAAGCTAAGTTTATCCCCAAAATTACGAGTTTTGAAAAAAAAAAAAAAAAAAAAAAAAAAAAAAAAAAAAAAAAAAAAAAAAAACCCTCCCACCAGCTCATCCTGCTAACTCTAACTGGCACACAAAGAAATGTTTATTCTCATAGTTTTTCACCTTATGATAACTTTTTTCTTGAATATTCTGTATGTCCATACTCAAAAATAAAGTTATCACGTCACGTGGTGGTTACATCTTGGCTACGAAATATGATGCAGACAATGACATCAAAGTCGACGATCTACCTCACGTTTCAATCCCAGCACAGTTAACAACTACTGGGGGCGGTTGCTCAGCCATTCACAACACTAGCCTGTGAGCTGATTTTGTCAACACAAAGATGGAAGACAGGACATTGTCTCCATGCCAAAATCCAAGAGAAGACCTAATTTCTCTGAGGAGGAATTGATGGTCCCCTTAGAAGAGGTAAAGAAGAAAAACAAAGTAGGAACCAAGTTATCCTCAGAAAGCTGGATAATGCCAACATGGCCAAGACCAAAAACAATGCATGGCACATGGTGGTCAAGCCAGTGAATTCTGCCTTTAAATAAACCAGATGAGACAGAGAGAGAGAGAGAGAGGGAGAGAAAATATTGACTTATTAACTTAAGTATCACCAAAGCAAAATTATTATTATGACAGCATTCTCATTATTATTATTATTCATCTTCCAATAATTACATACATTCCCTTCAGAAGTCTTTACTCTACACATTTGAATATATCCCTGAAGTGACCCACCCCTTGAAAAAATATTGCAATGTAGGTGAAGTCCGGCAAAAATTTATACTTGGGTAATGACCCTACTTATACTGTGGTATCTCCTATTGCACTTTAAAAACTTCCACTGCAGTAGAATCATAAAGCCACCAAAATCTAGTATGTGTGAGGACGACACGAGATCTCCTTGTCCTATCTCCTCACAACCATAAAATTTATTGGCGAGGAAATAGATGGTAACGAATCAAACGTTCATTGCTAACATACAAAGGATACAGAGAATCCCTGTACCTTCTTTCCCTGCGCAGGGCACTGCTGAACACATAAGCTGCTACAAACTCCATGAACACCACAAAATGCTGTGTTTACATATACAGTAAAACACTGATAACTCGGCATGTATAGGGCTCTGGCCTTAACAAATTATCCCAAATTCCAACTCATGGAGGCACCTCTACTCCCCCCAACAAAAATACAATATAAAATTATCGGCCCATATACATATACTTGTAATTAATAATTTTCAAAAAGTAACACTTACCAGCACTGCAAGCGAAGAATAAAGCATTGTAGTAGGAGAGAGGCATGGTAGGTGACACAGGGGAATGGTAGATGATGTAAGGAATGGTAGATGATGTAAGAGATGGTAGATGATGTAGGGGAATGGTAGGTGATGTAGGGGAATGGTAGGTGATGCAAGGAATGGTAGGTGATGCAGGGAATGGTAGGTGATGCAGGGAATGCTAGGTGACTCGGGAATGGTAGGCAACTCAGGGGAATGGTAGGTGACGCAGGTGATGGAGGGGAAACACTACATAAACAGTAAACTGTGCGGCACTTATGTACAATATACTACTATAATTTGGTCACTTATACGAAATAAAAAATAAATTTTAACAACAATAATTGTCTTCTCTACGTATAATTCAAGTCTGAGTATGTGAATAAACTCGTAACTTATATCACTAAGGATAGTAGCCCACCCTAGTAAAACTGTTTTCTTTATTACAGAGCAAGAGTAAAAATAAAAATACTCTAATGTAGCTAAGAAACAAACAAAATATAAGGTAAATCAGTTCTATGGGAAGGAGTTCACCATTCTCTTATTTACATATGCACTGATTATATTTTTAAAGGGGAAGGGAGAGGAGGATTTTTGTCACATGAAGAACTAGAAAGCTGTACAGTACTTGTACTATGGACTCACTTGATAGCTTGCAGGTAATCATTCATCTCAAAATATGCCTTGCCAATATGGGCCAAGACCCATCCTGTACGGTAGTGCTGAGTGGGTAGGGCAGTCAATAACTCCACCGATCGACTACAGTTGTATTGTGCCAGTTGTTGATATGATGCACCCATGTCACGTAGGAGTGACATCAGTCCCTCTATGTCCAAGAAAAAGAATTAAATAAAGATAAAGCATTTAAGACATAGTATTAATAACGTCACTAACTGTTTCTTTCAATAACATTGATTTACTCGTACAGTAATTACATATTGGCTCTTTGTGAATAAATTACTGTATTGTACTGTAGAGGGGGCACCCTAAATCACACCCTATAAATATATATGGTATAAAAAGTACCTTTGTTGTGCGTTTCAAGTACCTTGTAACCAAGCCTGCTCATATTTACATTAAATATAAGTATATCTAAGCAAATAAATAGGATGACACTCATTACAGTTACTAATTAACAATATAAATTCTTGTCAGAATAATGTAGGTCTACACATCCCCCCAATAAAAAATAAAAAATAAAATCTTTATCTGAAAAATAGCAAATACTGTACACATGCAGTAGTAAAAATGAACAAGTGAAGCATGAAATCCGATTTTATAGCCGAGAAAAATAAAAATCTTGTGAATTGAGATTAATGATACTAAAATACTCCATGGCAGACCCTGCCATAACCTAGAGGCCTCTGACATATTTAACCCCTAAAAGTTCAAACCCACTGATTAATGTGTTCCCAGTAGGGTACTAACCCCACTGATTAATGTGTTCCCAGTAGGGTACTAACCCCACTGATTAATGTGTTCCCAGTAGGGTACTAAACCCACTGATTAATGTGTTCCCAGTAGGGTACTAAACCCACTGATTAATGTGTTCCCAGTAGGGCACTAACCCCACTGATTAATGTGTTCCCAGTAGGGTACTAAACCCACTGATTAATGTGTTCCCAGTAGGGTACTAACCCCACTGATTAATGTGTTCCCAGTAGGGTACTAAACCCACTGATTAATGTGTTCCCAGTAGGGTACTAAACCCACTGATTAACCCTAACTGATTAATGTGTTCCCAGTAGGGTACTAAACCCACTGATTAATGTGTTCCCAGTAGGTACTAACCCACTGATTAATGTGTTCCCAGTAGGGTACTAAACCCACTGATTAACAGTGATTAATGTGTTCCCAGTAGGGTACCCCACTGATTAATCAGTAGGGTACTAACCCCACTGATTAATGTGTTCCCAGTAGGTACTAAACCCACTGATTAATGTGTTCCCAGTAGGGTACTAAACCCACTGATTAATGTGTTCCCAGTAGGGTACTAACCCCACTGATTAATGTGTTCCCAGTAGGGTAAACCCACTGATTAATGTGTTCCCAGTAGGGTACTAACCCCACTGATTAATGTGTTCCCAGTAGGGTACTAACCCTACTGATTAAAGTGTTCCCAGTAGGGTATTAAACCCACTGATTAATGTGTTCCCAGTAGGGTACTAAACCCACTGATTAATGTGTTCCCAGTAGGGTACTAACCCTACTGATTAAAGTGTTCCCAGTAGGGTATTAAACCCACTGATTAATGTGTTCCCAGTAGGGTACTAAACCCACTGATTAATGTGTTCCCAGTAGGGTACTAAACCCACTGATTAATGTGTTCCCAGTAGAGTACTAACCCCACTGATTAATGTGTTCCCAGTAGAGTACTAACCCCACTGATTAATGTGTTCCCAGTAGGGTACTAACCCCACTGATTAATGTGTTCCCAGTAGGGTACTAAACCCACTGATTAATGTGTTTCCAGTAGGGTACTAACCCCACTGATTAATGTGTTTCCAGTAGGGTACTAACCCTACTGATTAAAGTGTTCCCAGTAGGGTATTAAACCCACTGATTAATGTGTTCCCAGTAGGGTAGTAAACCCACTGATTAATGTGTTCCCAGTAGGGTACTAAACCCACTGATTAATGTGTTCCCAGTAGGGTACTAACGTCATTGACCGATGTAGGGTGTACTTTCAAATCTTGTGCCTTCATTTTGCCGAGAATACAAAGCCTCGTGGCTGCTAAATTTGGGAAAAATGATTTGTGGTAAATGTATGGCTCCTCATTGCTAAACCTCTGCTCATCCTCCCGCCTTCCCTGATCCCTCCTCACTTCTCTCCATCTCGTCTGCTCATTCACCTACATTATTCGGGGGAGGGGGAGTCTTCATTATATATTGGGGATATGTTCCAAAGAAATGTGACTTACAGTGAAACATTTTATAATGAGGAATTTTTCCCCATACGAATTAATGTACGTAATTCGGAATACTACAGTATATGCATTCCAACATGTACAGTAATAACCCTTGAAAGCTTAGGATGTGTTCCTAGAGAACTTTCAACAAATCAGCTTACAACGGGGTCATCATAATATACTGTACTGTACGTGTACAGTGACCCCCTTGGTTAACGAACGCCTCGGTTAACGAAATTTTGGTTAACAAATTACCTTCCATAAGAATATTCAATTCAATTAACGAAAAAAAAATCGGTTAACGAATTCCTTACGAATTTTTCCCAACATGTTGTCGCCTGCATTTGACTGCCCACCAGCTGTAGTATTAGTCCGCCAATACAGTAATCGGTTTTAGGACTTAAATTCCTTACCATTTTAGTAAATATCAAGAAGGTTGTACTATTCAATAATTTTAAAAGTTTTATATTAAATTTTTTAGTCATTTTAACAATTATTGAACAAGATTGAAGTACAGGAAGCTAGTTTTTTGTGCGCCAAACAGCCACTCAACACACCAAGCTTGGCGTTAGTTTGTTTACCAGTTCAGAGGAAGAAACATCTTGTTTGAGACTCTTCAACATTAACACTTTTTTTCTGTTTCCAGTCAAATTATTGGTCATTTTGAAATATATTTTACAAACATGTATTGACAATATATAATGCAATGCAGTGCTGTGTTGATTTAAAGAAAATAATCTTGAATTACACCAAGTGAACAAAAATTTTATGGGTGAAATGGCAGCATGGGGTGACTTCTCTTCCACCCCAATGCCTTCTCTTCTCCCTTCTCCTCCACCCCCATTCTAATTCCCATCATCATCATCATCATCAACCAGGAGCCTTCAACATGTACACCTCAAAGTAAGTGTACTTTACTGCATTTATTTTTAGTTTGTATGTAATTTTCGGTGAGCTGGAACCAATTACCCAAAAATCCACTGAAATAATGGTTTCGGTTAACGAATTGTGCTCGTTAACCAGGGACCACTGTATAGTATTTGATATGGAGATACATCCCTGACAACATTATGTTACCTTTGAGTGATGCACAATGATTCAATTTGATTAATAAATAAACCAGGGTGTAAGCAATGAAGACATGTTGTGGTTAACATGACATAGTGAAGGACAGTGCGGGCAATCAACTGTTTGCGATATGTAAACAAAGTCACTTGGAATTTAATGACACTAACTCATCTAGGGTTGAGCATTTAAGCTTTTTTCTGGGAAAATATATTATTTTACAATAATCTTTATTAACCCGGCACCAAATGAACCTAAATTATATGGAAGTTATGGTGAAATTGTATACTGTACTATGTTATAAAGGGATCACAGGCTGATGAGCACAGGTGAGACATCCTCTCAGCCCAGCCAGCACTCCCTCCCTCCTCCTCTCCCCAGCCGCATATCCAGACATAGTTTTGTAATTCTTTTCATTCCATTTCTTTACATGCAAACCCTCCATTGTAAAAGAACTGAATAAGGTTTTCCAAACTTTCATTTTTTGGTGTTGGAACACTTGTGTGACTTAAATGTCCGCGGTGAGGTATACAGTGACTCCTGGTGTGTTGCCATACTACTCTCAGGTACACTCCATCTCCCACAGAGTATACCCCTACTACAGTCGGCCCTTAACATACGCGGGTTTAGCATACATGGATTGCCCCGCCGGAGGAATATTCTGTACATTGAAGGAATTGAAGTACATTCAAATCGCGCACGGCACCGAACACGGGACACCACCCGCTCCCGCAACCTCACACACACACACGCATAGCTCTCCCTCACTCAGTCAGTCTCGCTGTAACCACGCTTGTGTTGACATCAGCATTGTAGTTGCAAAAATATAACATTTCCGTGAATGTATTATGTCAAGCACAGTATGAATAGAATATCACTAATATAACAGTATTTTAACCAAAAACTATTAAAAAAAATGAGTAACATATCTTGAACATCGGAAGGTTAGGTAAAGTCTTTTGTTTTCATGTAGTTTATCCTAATTTACATTGAAATACATTACATTTCAGCAAAACTACTATTTATTTCTGAGAATATGGAAATGGAATATTTTTGCTGAAATGACGTACGTATTACAGTGGAAAGTGACGAAAGCTATGACTTTCGCTTTCTTTCGTTGAAAAGATGTTACTGTAATCGCTTTTGAATGGTTTTCAGTTAAAAAACTGTTGTATTACAATAATATTCTATCCTAATTCACTTGTGATGCAACAGTTTTTTTAACTGAAAACCATTCGAAAAGTGATTACGGGAACATCTTTTGAACGAAAAAAAGCGAAAGTCATTGTTTTCGTCATGATTTTATCCCACTTTCCACTGTAATACGTACGTCATTTCAGCAAAAATATTACATTTCCGTGAATGTAGTATATCAAGCACAGTATGAATAGAATATCATTGTAATATAACGGTATTTTAACCGAAAACTATTAAAAAAACGAGTAACATCTCTTGAACATCAGAAGGTTAGGTAAAGTCTTTTGTTTTCGTCATGTATTTTATCCTATTTTATGTATAGATATGTAAATACCAAGATATGTGAACACGCCTGACGGCAAGACTCTGTTACCATTCATTGTACCATTTATTCACATGTCTGTATTACTATATATTATTATAGCATGTCTGATATCTATGCTTATGTCTAATGCCTATGCCTACTTACTATGTCCCGATGTACTATGTCTGTACTGCTCTAGTCAAGTAACTAGAAGACCTCATTTATTGTCCTAGTAATGTCTAGCAACTCTCCTTGCCTAGCTAGCTAACTTCGCTCAGATCGGCTTCGGCCTGGCTACGACACGGAGTCCCTTGTGCTTGCTCCTGCTTCTGCATCGGTCGGTTATCCTGC